TCTTCACCCGTACCATGAAATTTGTTATTAAAATTAATTGTTGATTTTAATCTCACCTTTTAAATTAGGTCTAACAAGCACTCAATCTCATTGTTATAGGATCTATTTCATAAAAAAATCTCCATGTGTAAACAAATAGTATTTAGGGTGGATTTTGAGAGTGAGATCTTCATCTTAATCTTTCTTACTTTATTTATTTTAAGTAATAAAAGACTTGATATAGACTCTTCCACCAGTCATAATTTATGACTTTTAAGAAAAATAGTTGTACTACCCCATAACAGTTGGTCATTTATTATACGCATATTAATTATTTAATAAAAATTTAAGCCCGAATTAAAATTTTAATAGATTTCGAATAAAAGTTGATGAAATGTATTGTTGAAAAGTTATAAATCCTATAAAATATGTAGTTAAAATTAATTGTTAACTTTGACTTAAATTAAAATTAAAATTTTCATTTTTCCGAATCTTATTTGTAAGTATGAAGTTGTTTTAACGCATGATTTTATAAATAAATTTGTTTCCTCTTCTAACAGCCTAAATTTTAAACGAGGTGATTCGAAACAATGTCTTGTTCCTACTCCATTTTCTAAAGTTAAAAATATCGAAATTTTCTTCTTATCTGAGCTAGGAATGCTACATCCATCTCTCCCAATTCCTCACCCTCATTCTCATCATGCTTTCGATCTCCAAATAAATAAGCCATACATCCGGAGCTTATTTATTTTTGGCATAAGCCACAGCAATCATGCTCTAAATAGGAGCTCATTCTCCCTCATCTGTTGTCAAACAAAACCTAAGTCACTATTACAATGGAGGAGAAAATTTTCAGTAGGACGATCGCACACCTCAAATCCCTAAGTGGCCTCACCTCATTGGGTGAGGATGGATCATTCGATGAGATAGTGACTCCTTATTCGGCAGTCGCACCACGTGAAACGGTGCAACCGTCCTACCAACATTTTTTCTCCACAATGGAGTCCATCCATATATATCTAATTTAACAACTCCACAGATATCCAAACCAGGCATTTAACACTAATCCACCACCTCATAGTTCGAATCATTCCATCCAGTTCTAATTTCTCAATGACTTATATCACCGTATCGACGTATGCAAATTGTTACGAGAAGTTCAGTTAAAATAAGCCACTTTAGCCAACAAAATATGAAATAATAAACCACAAAATTGAAAGAAACATAAAGAACACAAAACAACACGATATTTTTCGCCCTCAGGCAAGGGATTCTGAAACAAGGTTCCTACTCCCCTTTTGAGCTTCCGCCACCGGAAGAAATCACCATATTAATGGAATCGAAGAAACCGTCCAGCATACACAACTCATGGAACTCAGAAATAATCACATAAGATTCTTTCAACACCAACCTCTCTTTCAAGACAACCATTCACTCAAAGATAGCAACTTCACAATATAAAAATCACTCAAGATTTATTCAAAACTGGAAGTTTCAAATTGATGAGACTTTCTAGATTGATTTCGGGAGAATAGAAGATGAACGGCTTCAAACAGAGTTCGAGAGGCAGAGAGTGAGAAATAGTGAAAAGTCTCACAGCCAGTCGGAACCTGCTGCTTGTGCAAGCCTTTTTTCACAGGATTTGTACATGCCACACACAATACATGTGGGAGTGGGGTAATTTTTTTTTAAAAAATAATCACCCACCGCCCCAACCAGCATCTAAGGGGCCTATACAGCAAGCAAAATCCCAACCAGAAACCAGAGTAATATAGAAGACCCTCGAAGATCTTCCCATCCAACGGTGAATAAGGTGACACATGGCAAGGTCATAAGCATCCATTCAAAATAAAGAAAACGCGTTTCAGCAGCACACGCTTTTTGCCAAAGTGAAATAACACCATTTTATCCATTGGACATTCCAGCCCAGCAGCCCAGCAGATTATTAGGGCAGCCCACATCATTGTGCCACATTTTCTCCACAAAAACTTTGAAGACATTAAAAAATAATAATAATAATAATAAAAGAAAAAATAAAAGAAAGCAAGAATGAGCAAGCAGGAATGAACTGGATATTGATATACACATTTTAACGTTAACGTGCCAATGTTTTGACCATGAAGGTGAAATTCTACGTGATCAATATGCACATTCTGAGAGCCTGACTTGTGCGCTAAAACAAAGATAGCATGAAAACTTCCACACAAACAAACGAATTCGACTTTAGCCGAGTAATACTACTCTGTATCTTCATTCTGCTGTAGCCCCTTCGGTTTTGGTTCCTTCAGTTTGTATATCAGGGATAGTATCAAGATGAATGCGGATAACTTTCTCCTCCATGGGAATGGACAAATCAGATGAATCGATGGGGTCATGAGGGATATTCTTGTAATTTTCGTTTCTCAAGTCAAAAACATCATCTGTTCCACCTGATTCTTCACTGGTTTTGGACTTCTTAGCCTCAGTTGCATCAATCTTTACTGTTAAAGACCCAGTGGTATTCCCTGCTTCCACAGATACGTCAGAGTTCAGGATATTTTCTGATGCAGAAGAGTCTGATTTACTAGACGAATTAGGAAAATCATTTAGATTTGACTTTGCGTCCTCGGTTCCAGTTGTTGAATAATGACTATGATTCCCATCATCAACCAAACCCAGATTTATCCCTAACACGCTTTCTGTTCCATTCAGCAAGGACTGATCATGACCATCAGTACTTGTTGAGTTGTTGATTGTTTCGATATGGTCATTGGATCCTTCCATCACTGTAGCATTTGAAAATAATCCACTCTCAGAATTGTCCATTACATTCTTCTTTGTTTTATTGGAAATTACCTTTGACTGCTTCTCTCTTTTGGCCATTTCATTACTTTCCGCCTCTACCTCTGTTCTGTCTTCTCCCAAATTGATCTCTTCAGTATTATTCTCCTTTTTCTCTAAATCAATAATATTTGATTCAGTGCGCACATTTAAGTTCCCCAAGCTTCCATTCTCATTTTCATCAGTAAGTACTTCGCTGTCATCTGTCACTGCACTAGAAGCATCATCAGCCCTATAATTTTCCTCGCGTGCCTCGTGTGTACTCCTATAATCTCTGTCATTATCACTATCCTCTAAAGAAATTCCCTTCTCCACTTGACCATTATTGTCTTCAGAATCTCCCTCTTCACTTTCATTCTCATCACCCTCATCTCTCTCCTCATCTATAAAATCCTCTCCTCGATCGACTTCAGCTTCAGATTTCTCTTCTTCACTCTCACCTATCTGGTCATCTCCACCTCCCATCCCTTCATCCTCTTCTTCTTCTACTTCTTCTTCTTCTGTTTTCTTGTCTTCTCTTTCCTCTTCTATTTCTTCGTCTTCTTCACCGGTGGTTTCCTCTGCTTCATGCTTTTCAGTCTTTGCAACTGTTTCCTCTTTCTCGTGGATATCTTTCCTTCCAAGTTTTAAAATTTCATTGCTAACCCCTCTGCTAAGTGAGGTTTTATCGCTTTGATCAAATTCTTTCTTCTTATCATGGGAATGTTTGACTTGATATAATGACCAAATAAAAACAGCAAGCAACAAACAAATTTGCAGAACATGCTTAACTTTGACTCCCTTAGATCTCGAGTTCCTAATAGGTGAGTGCCTGTACATAATGACTCCGCCAGTATGTCCACTTGTGGCCTTCTCCCTTTCAAGTGATACAAGAGAACCTGCTAGGAAACTATAGAACATTATTAAAAGCAACAAAAAATTAATCAGAGGACTTGAGCAATAAGACATCATGGAGTCATGTTATAAAATTTGAACAGAGTTTAGCAATTTTATTTCACTAAAATCATACCTATTTAGTAATTACATTTTAAAAACTAAACTGAGCCGAAGAAAACTGATAATCCTTTGGGAAACCCCTAGATATTGATATAATCTTTAGCATTTTCAATCAATGTGTCTGCTCTCGAATAGAACCAACAATTCTGAGGTTGCAGCACAAGTCAAACAATCGTTAATAATTCAACAATTTACACGGGAACGGGATAACACCATTCATAAAGTCCATCCATACCCATAAACTTTTTATTTATCTCACTTGTATGCAGCAAAAGTGTGAAGATTGTGTGACAAAGTACTTTCAGAAAACATTAATAAACATCACAAAAGCCTAGCTATAGGAAGTAAAACCTATTTTCACCATTACACTCTAAAATATATAATGGCATGCAGTGTGTAATATATCATGTATAATCAGTCTTTTCCTTACAAGAGTGCCTAAGAATATAAGGGGGAGTGGGGCTAATGGGTTAGGAAGGAAAATAAATTGGGAGCCATATTGTTCAGTTTCATAAAGTCTATAACTCACACATCAACCAATTGCCTTTCCCAAACACACAATATAAGACCTTGCTCAAAAATACAACTTCAACGGTAAAAAATATCCAATGAAACAAGGAACTTGAAGACCCCCTTTTCTTATGAAATCAAAAGGCAAAGAAAAGTCAATTTTCGTTCCCATCTATTTTATAGACGCATTTGGTGTCATTATTTCCCAGGCACCTTGCCATGCGTCTGAAAGTGAACATTTCCATTATCGGTTGATGTACCATGCTAATGTTCAAAAATGCTATTACATTGTCTTGAGCGGGGTAGAGATCTTACAGATACAGACCCTTTGAATTCTACAAAGTTCATTTCAATCACAAGCCTCTGTTAAGTTCTGCATCATCTTAACCACACAAAAATGCCATATTTTCCACCTAATTATTACTGCAAAAAACATAATACATAATCTAAAAGTAATCAACGAAAATGGAATATTTGACATATAAATGGGAAACCAAACTTGTAAATAACGAATTTCAAAATAATGATAATAATAAATCCTAAAAATTCTAGGCATTATTTTTTTGTACTAAAATAGCAAATCCAGAACTATATATAATAAAATTGCACTCAAAATCGCGTTTTCACAATAGATACCCACAAGTTTCCACAAACAGTTAATATATGCAAACAAATCACTAAACAAATTCGTATTGTTCATAATTACACTTCTAATTCTATCTCCCCACATAAATTAACTTCAGCATTCATAACAACATCATTAAGAAAATAATAACTATATCAATAAATTGAAGAAAATAACATAAAGAAGCAAGATACCTGGAGAAATATGGAGAGTAAAATCGCCGAAGAAAGTCTAAGACATTCAGTACAGTAATGAACAGTGGTTGAAAAATAGTAGTTCCAAATTCTGTGGGTAAGAAATGCGAAAGTACTTGTTCAGAGAGTGTGTGTGTGTGTGTGTGTGTGTGTGAATATGTGTGAGAGAGAGTAAGTGCAATTTTGTTACAGCGTCAGCAAGAGAGTAGAGAGAGAAAGAATATGGGTAATAGAAATAGTTGGGTTATTGGGTTATATCCATATGAACGGGTTTTCTCCAATTAGTTTTTTGGACCTAGTTTAGTCAATAATTAAATTTTTTTTTTAAGATTTATTTTTTAATCATACATTTTTTCAATAAAATAATTATTTAAATAAATTCAATTTTTTTTTTTTCATTTTTAATCATAATTTTTTTAGAATTTTTTTTCCCTCAAATCATTAAAACATGGGCTAAAATGTGAATGGTCTTAGAAATAGTTACACAAAATCTTAAGACAGAGGAGCTTTTCATTTTTGAACTTGGAGCTTGTTTGAATGAAATTTTTTGAAAATTATTTTTTATTCAAAATCTTCAATCATATATCTAGGCAATTTAGGGAAGAAGATGAAGTTTGGGGGTGGGTGGATGGGAGTGAGTTTGCATATTTTAATTTTTGTTTTTTGATTTAATTATTATAAGTGTGTGTGCGCGCGCGCGCGCGCGTGTTGTGAAGAAAATAAATTAAACATTTTATAAAATTGGTCAAAATATAGTTAAAACTTACTTTTCTGATCAACTAACGATCAATTAGACTTTTGCTGCAATGAAAGTAAAGGTTTGAGAATTTAAAGTATGCAAAAAAATGAAAGATTTGGGGCCCCTTCTACAGTTATCCTTAATTCATTCATACTTATCATCTACAATTTATTTTAAAAAATTTCTCCGAACAAACCTTAGCTCCAGTTTGTCTCTCTTTAAAACAAAATTCTTTAATTCTCATACTAATTTTTAACTATACATTTACACAATAAAATATTTTGTACGTAAACTTGAAATTTTTCCCTTTTTTAACCATACATTCTCAAAAAAAAAATCAATATTGAAAACATTACTTTTCTGAATGACAGTCATCTTAGTTAACAAGTTGATTCCAATCATGCTACGGTGCCAGATAGCTTAACATGAAGGTTGACATAATGACACATAATATTTTTATTTGTTTAAAACACGATCAATTTTTTTATCCAATCATCTGTTACTACTTACATTTCTGCCACATATATCAAAATCATTCTGACAACGTGGCATAGTCCAGTTGACTCTTCCGTATGAGATTGACTCGTTGGATCTTACAGTGTCTCGGGACTATCATCTGTAATAAGTGCTATGAAAAAATTGAGAAGGGCTCCAACCTATTGTCCGTGTTACATTTTGTCCCTAAATTTCAAAATGATGCTAACATTTCACTTTTGTTGGACCAATACAATTTTATTTAACCGTCTCTGCTCATTGTTGTGTTAGAAAATAATTTTTTACAAACACTAGTATTAAATCTAGAGCTTTTGAGAATTTTCAATTTTGTTGCACCAATTTCAAAAGAATAAAGCTATCCAACATCAACGATTTACAAAACAAATCTAGGTGTAAAAATGTGATAAGTTCCATTAAAAATGGGCCATAAAGCTCTTAATTTCCATAAGAGCTTGATTTTAATCTACAAATAGCATTGCATAACATCATAAAAACTCATTTGACATTAGCATATGGTTACAATAATGAACCTGACATTTAATTTCATAGTACTGTCGAAGGGGTAAGGTTAGGTAGCTGTGTTAAATGGGTCGGGCCTAGCTGAACCTAACCCATTTAACACCCCTAGGCTCCGGTTGTAAAACCTGGGGTTTGGATGGGGAACAAGGGCCAGGAGAGCCGTTGGGTTGGGCAGAGGTCGGGAATTGGGTCAGGTTGTAAGACGTCCTTTTTTTTTTTAAATTAATTAATTAATTCATTTTTTATTTTTCCTATTTTTCTTTCCTTTCTTATTTAAGCTCCTATTAGTTGTGACTAAAAATCAGAGTTTTAGTAATTTTTGATAAAATAGATTAAATGTATTACTAAAAAGTTGATGCAAACTACAGCTCCCATTAAATGTGGGATTAAATTAATTATTAATTTTAACTTACATTTTTATCAACCTTTTGAGCTACACGAAATTGAAACATAATTAATATTCAATAAGATCAAGTATTTTCCATTGAAATAACAGCTAAAATGGATGGAAACCTTTCATTAGGAGGTGTGAGGTAAAAGTGAAAGATTAAAGATGAATGCTCCTTTTTAAAGATCGACGATGAAAAAAAAAATTTAAATATATTTCACGTCCAGCTAGCTAGCAGAGATGAGATAATATGTTCTTTTGTTTCACCAAACAAAGCATCCTAATGCTAACCTTTTCCTTTTTTCACTAATAAACAGTGTTGTGAAAAGCGCGTTTAGGCGTGAGGTGCGGATAGAACATTATGTTACACCTTGGCAGTGAGCATGAAACTAAGCGATTACATGCCTAGTTGAGCTTTATTAATTTTTTCTTTTTTTTTGAATTCTTTTATTTGACTTTAGTTTCAAATGTTCAAATACCTTTATCTAAACAAAAGTCAAAAATAAAAACAAGTGAGAAAATTTCAAACAAAAAAAGGCCACAGGAAAATTGAAAAACAGTGAGGCTCGACTGTTCCAAATCCAATCTACCTTCCTTAACGGTTTCAAGTAAGAAATCGAATTTGGAGAAGATTGAAGACAATATATTAACTAGTTCTTTTGATTTCGAAATAAATATTCTTTGATATTTGGTGGAGTTCATTTGATTTTGTATCAGACGACACATAAGATGAATTAGATGAAGAAATAAATATTGAATTGGAGTTCGATAATATTTAAGCTATGGTGATACATACATTATGTAATCATGATCTTGAGACTTAACATTTTGTTTGAAACTTCAAAAGTATATATAAAATTCCTATAAATTTATTAAATAGAACTTGTATAGTTGAAAATTAAAACTATGAAAAGTAGTGTAACTTTTGTATTTTGAAAACATAAAAATTCTATAATTGATTAATTGGAGGAATTATTAAGTGAATATAGTATTTTATAATTTTAGATGTTTGGTATGTATTATTTTTATTTTTAAGAAAAAGTTTTTTTAAGCCTAAACCTCATTTAGACTCGTAAAAAAATTTGAAGCTTGGCCTCCATGTCTAACTACACTTGCTTTGCTTTTTAAGAACACTTCAAATAAATGAACTCCGTTGCTATAGAATATTATTAAGTTATTAATGATGATACAAGTTGGTGCTATCATCACTTGCTTATAAACATAATTTCCATCATATAATTGCCAGTAGTTGTAATTATATGCAAGGGAACTTCAACAAACTGTTTTGCCATAGTACTATTCTTCGTTTTTCAAAAGTCCTATTACGTTTTTCTTTTTTGGTTGGGAGTTCGCAGAGTTGCAGAATTACCCATAAATAAATGAGAAGTGCTATAAATACAGTACTTTTGACAGCTCTCTCTAATTATGGGCCTCACGTTTTGTGATCAGAGGGCTGTCATGCAAAGTGTAGCATTTCCATAAATAAATCTCTCATCCATACGAGGGACATGTAACAGACAAAGATTTAACTAACTAAAATTTTCCGCTTTCCGACTGTTTAAACTTTTAAATAAAGTGGTTCAATAATATACATACTAAGGAAACCCAAATGGGTAGAAAATAATTTTCGTAGAAGACTAGTAGTTTTAAAGAAGGTTTAAAAATTGAACACTTCCTGAAAAGCAAGCTTAAGAAGGATAAGGGCTCTTCTTTGTCAGCTTGTCACTTTTTACACTTTCTGTGATAACTGGAATATTTTGGAAAAGCCTCTCGGGCGTAAAGCCTACAAAGATTGGTGCATGCCAAAAGCTTGGAACATATATTTCTCCTTCTTGGGCTCATACCGAAATTTGAACAAGAAAACAAACTTTACGTTAATCTAACAAGCTCCAACCCTAAATTTATTAAGAACAAAGTTTAATTTGTTATCGTCATTAATTTTAAACTTAGAAGCTCAACTTGATGAGTAGTTTGAGGCATGATTACAATTTGTTGATCATTAGTATTATGTCTGTTAATATGGTACTGAAAACAAACCTATATATAAACAGATAGATATATTTAAGATTCTAACAGCCTGATGTTCCTTTGCTTCCTACTAAAGATATTCTTGCTTAAACAAAAATCTTACTGGTCCTCTTCACATTTACAACCCCCTATAATTCAATTACCTATATGTAGCCTCCCTTCAATCCTCTGATTAAACCATAATTTTTTATAGGAGAAAACATGAACTTGTCTAGATTTACAATCTTGTTTGGGATTTTCTCCATTAGTTTGATTCAATGTTCATTAGCTTCTATTGTGTCGACACGAGATTTTAACAAGAATTTCTTTGTAGCATGGTCCCCTAGCCATGTAAATACATCAGCAGATGGTGGAACCAGAAGCTGAAAACTTGGCAAGGATTCAGGTCAGTAGATGGAAAAATATAGGTTATGAATTTTATTTTTAGTTATATGTATATATAGACGAGCAAGAGAACATTGTGTTTAACTAACTCATCTAAAACCTTGAGTGTTACAACCCACATTTTTATCTAGTCAAAGTCAATAGTGGAATTTTTAAAGTCAAGTCAAACGAGGACTTGTATGAAATAAATCATTTTTATTGGGACTTGATTGACCAAATCATTTTATTTGGGTTTATCTTATAAATTATAAATATTTTGAAGGTTAAGTTGGACAAAATAAAAAAAAAAAAATTGGGATTTATTTATATATTTTTCGAAGTTGAGGAAATACTTGTATGTTGTAATTAGATTTAAGGGTCTTTCTTTGCAAATTGAACATGTGGGACTTTAAAATTCAACCTTTGACCATTCTTTTTCTCCCAAAACCCACCCCCACACACACAGTAACGCGAGAGAAGCAGAGACCGTGAGAGAAGAAAGAAAAAGGAAAAGAAGAAAGGAAAAAGAAGAAGAAAAAGAAAGGAAAAAAAAGGGAAGAAGAAAAGAGGTAAGGCTAATCTCTTCAAGCTGGGATGTAATTTATTCATTGTTCCAAGTGATATAGGTGTGATTTATGTTAAATTTTTAGGGTTTTAACTTGTAATAATAAAATGTCAAATTTATGT